CATAAAGTAAATGTAAGGACGCAAGAGCCACGGAATCTCTTGTACAAGCAAATCGACTCGCGGCAGAGGTGATCCGATTTTGATAAGACGGACGGTTATCGCACGAAATTTATTACATAGCATATTGAAATCTCTCGGTCGATGTTGAATCTACGTAATTACTCTTCCACACTCGATTATACATTCAGACCAAATTCCACACGTTCACACTTTTTTGGCAGCATAATTGTTAAAATAAAAATACATGAAAAAATGATAAATACTTAATTTTTAAGTAACATCCAAATGCATTGGTATTTATAAAAACTTGTTGATTTACTTATAAAAATAGAGAGATTGTTCTGTAGCAATAAATATTTCCTCGAATACTCTATTAGTTGAAGACCACGAAAGCGGGGCAAGGATCAACTTCGTAGATCACTATACGCCACTATTGCGCTTGTCGTGTCCTGTCGTGAAATGGGACCTCTCGAGGCTAGCTGGTAAGTAAAGTTCACCTATGCCCAAGAGTACCTGGATCATACCTCGGACTTCGAACAAGCCTCGGGCCCGATACTTTGTGGAAATGATCTTCTGTTATTCGCTGGCCGGCGCTGTATGCACAGAACATTACTTGGCGAACACGATCGATTTTACGCTGCGGGCACCGTATAAATTCCTAAACACCGGAGAGCGCAATGCGAACACAGTTTTGATCATTTCCGTGAAAGTCGAACGGAAATCTAAGATTCTTTGTACAATGAAATATTTCGAGCGAATCAAATATCTTTCAATATACAAGCTAATAGTAATTAAACTCACGCAGTGACTCAGATGAAAAAATTGGGAGAAAATTGTTGGTATAAATTAAATCTTTGTCCTACAACCACGTGTGAGACTTGTGGTCAAGTATTCGACTTTTCCAAACATACCTTTAGATTTGAACTGACAAGGAGATCTTGGGGTGTATAACCATATTTAATATTCCGTATAATATTTTGAAACTGAGGTTTCAAGCTTTAATTTAAAAGGGAAGTCCTCGCAGGAAGCTGAGTGATAATGTTCCAAAATTTTAAGCCAATTGTGGGCATAAATTTCGTGATGCCAATATTTTCTTGAACAGTGTACAGTGTACACAATGCGGACGTCAACAAGTAATAGTACGAATACCTGTCTGGGTTTAGTCATAGAAGAATGTCTACCGATTCGTCTCCCAGTTCTAGCTAGACGAAGGTATGAAATTCGATTTGCATAGAGTGAACGACGGGACCCAATGAAGCTTATTAAGCGGCTGGATTATCGAACAATGACCCGAGCACCTTCGTTCACGTTAATTGCTGCCTCGGCTAAGGGCGCCTTCAACCGAGGCCACAGGTCTTGGATTGATTTACACTAGTGACCGATCTTTAACTCCTTCGCTGACCGTGTCTACGTTTAATTTCTTAACCCCTTGAACGTTGTGATTAACCTCAGCTAAAACTTTACCAGATTAGCAGAACATTTACCATGCTCCTTTTAACGAGTTCCACAAGGATTTATGAGCTTCAACGGAAATTAAAACTATTTTCGAGGAAGTAAATAATTAATTCTCGGTTTGTAGGACAGTGTGACGAAAGGATAACAGATTCGAGAGAATTTCTTCAGATTGTCGGTAGATTTCATGGAAAATAAAATATTTATCAGTTTAAAAGTCGTGTTTGAGATAAACATTTGATTGATCATTTAAACATCGGACTATACATTCAGCTTTTCACATTCTCAACTGTTTCATACATTACATACATAGCCTTTGGCATTTCTACACATTCAATTTTCTTATAATCGCATAAAATCCGCAGTGTAATCACTACTTCTTTTAATTTTTCATATTCATTCATACGAAATTTTCTTTGGATTCTTTTTCAACGTGTCTTCTCAGTTCTTACAAGTACCAGCATTTACTCGTACTTATTAAACGGCTCGCGTAACCAGGTGTGCGAGAAGTGCAAATTGGAAGACAACGAATTTACGAATTAAACCGAGAGGTTCAGGTTAACCGAAGCGTGTCGAGCGTGAAATGAAATGAAGGAAACCGCGTAATACCGTGGTCACAGAAAGTTAATTAACATCTCAGACAAGTCGTGACTCGAATGGAATGAGCCGAAGCGAGCTAAGGGGCTGACCAGCGTGCGGTGCGCACCGGATTTTATGGTATCTGTCCCCGTATCTCGAAGCGGTTGTGAGATACCGTGCCTCGATCGCTGTTCCGGCTAATCGTAAATTAGGTTTTGCACTTCGATTCTACACTTTCTTATTACGCGCATAAAACGTCTAAATACGTCCGAGAAAGCACATAAGTTTCAGGACTGTGCGAAACAATAAATTCCTGTCTTTCTATATACGTCTACTAGACAAATTATTTAAAATTGTATTGGAAAGTGTTATACTTGAAAGTTGAAATCAATCAGAAATGCTTCTTTTAATAACAATTTATGCGATGAACGATTATTTCTGTGAACCAGAGATGAGAAGAGAGATTGTCTATGGATCCCTATCTGTTCTAAGCCTAACCGATTTTTGACTGTCATAAGCTATGACGAACATCCATACTGTAAGGAAGTAATGGTAGTGAGAGTGAGAGCGTACACACTTTTCTGTCTCACGTGTCTGTCTCTCTCACTACCATTACTCCCCTAAAAATATGAATACGTTTCGGACGTTCGCCATTTAGAGACGGTAGTTTATGACAGTCAAAAGTCGGCTCGGTTTAAGAGGGTAGATTTCGGTGACAGCGCGATATGACAGACTGTCAATGTTAACCACAAAATTAGCCAAAAATATGGGTTTACGGGGCTGGACCTACTGTCCTTATATGAGCATATTTTCCGGTCGTCAGATACCTCCAGGAAGAGGAAAGTCACATCTGGCACGGTCTGATCATTAGTTAATTAGAATATGCTGATACTTACATTAGTAACATGAGATGCTCCTAGACTCTCGGGAACTCAGGTATAGTTACAATACCTCTGTTTATAAGCGATTTCATATCAGAAACAGATTGTTTTGATTGAAATAATAGCATCTTAAAACGGGTTCATAAGTAATCTCCCACCTTATCTCTGCTGTGAACGATCCAGGAAAGAGTAACGTTAGAAAAAAATGACAGGCGATACATTCATCTCGCGATTTCGACGAATGATCGATTGATCTTTGAAATATATAACGGGATTGCGAGGCAAGAGTGATCGTGGATTATGCAATCGGCACCGTTCACGGTTAGATCAGCAATGACGAGAGTAAAAGAATAAGAGGGGAAGTCTCGAGAGTGTTCTACCCCTCGCGCTGAATGATTACAATTTATGTGATTCTTTGTGCCGGCGCTGATCTACGAGCCCGATCTCTGCGAGCTCAGTCCACCAGCTGCGACGGTTTAAGCCTACGCCCACGACCAACTGTATTTCCTTCAAATCCTTTTTATACAGAATGTGGTATCGTTGAACTATGAGTGAACTTTAGATACTTACCTGCGTCAAGTGTGCGAAAGTGTTGGAATAAACTTGTTTCGACAATAGACATGTGAATGAAATTAAAGTCGTGTGAATCCTTATATAAAAAATAAAGATGAAGCTTACAAATTTTAAACAGTTAATAGATGTTTCATTAATAAAACATTGCACAATTTTGCGAGGCCATTAGAAAGATTATTACTATACTACGGATGCTTATGTATTTATGGGAATTTTCAGTAATTTAAAGAAACAGTATGCAGTAATATACAAGGAAATATAAAATATTTCAAACTATATATTATATAACATAATATTTCAAACCATATATTATATAACATAATATTTCAAACCATATGTATATTAGAATTCCTTCTGACTTAGAAGAACGTATCGAACAATTTTATGAATCTTACTTACATGCCTGTAATCTGGAAATTTTCATTAAAAATTGTCAAGAATATTTAGTGATGCTTATGTCATTGTCCATGAATAAATTTTCCTATAAAATCGACATGCACAGTCAATAAACAATTATCGCTTCAAATATTGGAAACAATCCTATATCACATTCTTTAAACTTTTGGTAGAGATTCTACGACTCGTACAATTTAATTTCATAATTGTATGTGATAAGAGTATAAATAATAATTTTCTAAAAGAATAAATAATTATTTTCCAAATTGGAACTTTCGTGAAACCAAAATTCTAACTCGATTTCATTAAACGTAATGATACAACCGCGTTTTCTACCGGAAGCGAAGTATCCCAAGTACGGGGCAGTAAAAGAGGCGAACGGTATTGCACATGGAAATCGGGCATCGTAAATTAAAACTAATAATAAACCAAACGGATTATATGTATGCAAGTATTCGAGGCGTTCCGCGGACAAGGATGGTTCGACTCTTGTAAATCTCGAGTAACATCCTCGGCTCACGATCGCCGTCATGCGGCTGGATAAGTGCTCCGTACTTAAGGGAGCCTCGAGATAAACATCCACCTCGTACTATACGTATATAGTTAGAACAAGACCGAGCGTTGTGCATTATTCTCGCTGGAGTTCCCTCACGGCGAACCCATCACCGTTGCACATTTTATTCTCACATATAATGCAAATATTTTTTTTTAATAAACCGTGAGTGAAACACATAAGAACCTTCATTTACATGGTGTTTCTTTTTACACGGTTTATTCAGAATTTTCTTTTACTGAGTTTGCTGTCTCAGTGTAAAAGAGGGGTGGGTGTATGAAATGTGTTATGATGATCTCGGTTTATGTGATAGAATCTTCATACTGACGTATGCCAATTATATCATAATTATTATTATAATTAAACATTAGCTAAATTATGCTAAATAATGTCAAATACAACGCTTATAACGAGGTAGTTGAACAGTCTTCCAATAACAAAGATTAAAATATTCTTTTAATCAAAAATGGCACCAAGTATTCACTAATTCTTGTCTTTCGTTAGGAACTACATATCACAATTGCAGCAATCGTATAAGCTCGAATAATTCTAGCAGTGGTGCTTACCTTTGCAGCCATCGGTAGACAAGCCGTAATGATCGACGTCGCAGCGATCGCACCGGAAGCCGAGGACCGCGTCCGCGCACCTGCACTCGCCTGTTACGGGATCGCAGACTTCGTCGAGGGCACCCACGTCGCAGTCGCATTCCTGGCAACCTGCAGTCACGTTCCCGTAACCTTCGATGCAAGAGGAGCAGTCACGACCCTCGAACAAAGGCTTGCAGGGACACTGACCGCTCTTCGTGTCGCATTCAATGGAATTGCTGCCCACGGGATCGCAGTCGCAGGCTGTAACCGACAGAGATTTTCGTGTTTAGATTCTTTCATCGTGGATAGGAGCATACCAAACCTGATACATACACTACTTGAAAAGCTTATGCCATCACGAAACTTACATCGAAAATTCCCCGGTAACAAATTATTGACGATGGCTTTTCTCTTACATTACAGCTGGGAACTTCTACTTTAAAATACTGTCCAGAGATTTTTATTTGATACACTCCTATGATAGACAACCCTTAAATCCAAGGGAATGTATAAAAATTAATGAAGTTTGAACGAACGAAATTTGAAAGAAATGTGAAATTAGGAATGGCCAAGATCAACCAAAGAATAACGAAAATTATTTATTGTGGAATAATCACCTCCCAAACTTCTCAATTTTCGATGCATTCGTCATGTCATAATTTTTTATAAGAATTTTGAACAGATTGGAGCAATTAATTTATTGTCAAAGCATATCAAAAGATATTAGATACAAGAATCATGTCGATTAGATTCATAAATACTCTTTCTAAATGTGTAATTTACGTTACATTTAATTAATGCAATTACGCTGAATGCAACGTGACAAAAAGTGATATGAATTTCCGATACGAGAATGAATTATGATTCATTAAGATGTGATGTAAAGTGAGAAATACACGTGTTCCGACTGATGCAAAATATAGAGAAACGTGAATCGATTAAATTATTCGAGAAACATTCAGTACCCGCGGGATATCGCGTGGCGACATCGATGAAATAACGAACCGGGTGTAAAACAGACGATGTACTCACGCAAGCAGTTCTGTTCCAAGGGATTTCCGTAATGAGCTGGTTTACATTTGTCGCATTTCCAGCCTTCCGTGTTCCCGCGACACTCCAGGCACCGTCCCGTTTCCTGATCGCACGGTCCGCCGCCACAGAGGCATGGTTCGCACGTGCTACCTGGCACCAAAGGATTTCCGAAATATCCTACATCGCAACTGTAACAATAAAAGTCAATTTTCGAATCCTATTATAGTCTCTTTATTATTATGCTCTTAAGTCGTCAGAATATTTTATATTAATTAAGCTATTTTCAAATTTTCGATTCGGGAGTTTGGAAATCTCATTTTTTTTAATTGCATCGATCGTTTACACTCACCTTTCACAGTGATCGCCTGTGTAACCCTTCGGGCATTGCGTGCATACGTATCCACTGTCTGCGTCCGTGGGATCATCGAGCTGACAATTCGGGCTGAAGTTATTGGACTCGATCAAAAGTGGACAAGCGCATCTTTTGCAATCGTTCTCTGTACCCCTGAGAGCGATGCCGTAAAAACCGGATGCGCAACGATCACATTTTGGGCCCACTGTATTATGTTCGCAAGTCTAGCGAACAGAAATAATGTTTTCACATACATCAATGTATGATTTTCAAAAAGGGGTTATTCATAGTTCACAATTCATTCAACAGAAATTATCAATTACTTCAGTAAAATTAAAGTATAATCGAATTCATGAAGAGGGGACTCTTGAATCAGCATTAACAGGTGGCATTAATATTCCATGTCGGTATAATAGTCGAACGTTAGACACGGGAGTCCATAAATTGGTAAGTCTACTTGTCTGCATTTTCTTTGCTATCGCTAGATGGTTAAGCGATCTAAGGTAAGGAAGGAAGCCATGCGAGCAGATTAAGGTATCTGTCTACGCTACAGAGAAACTGCATGGAGATTTTAAAATTTTAAAAATGGAAAAGGCCTTTAGGTTCTTTCATACATCTTTCTAGAAATATAATAAATAATTTAATGCTACAGAAAATGCCAGCGGTACTCTTGAAAGATAAAGATATGATACCGAGGAGAGATTACTAAAGAGCGGCAACGCCTGTGCTAAAGCGCTGCCCGAAAAGTGGGTCCAAATGGGTCCAAATCGGTAAGGTAGGTTCATGAAATCCTACAGAATAACAGTTTCGGGGCATACCGACATTCAAACTCATCGATGCTGTTTTTCCAGCACGATAGATTATAGGCGTCTAGACATCTGGTTTTTCGTTAAAAAAAGTCGGAACCAATACACTTATTACGTTCACATCTGCATTTTACTGTATTTTATCCTAAAAATATTTTTTTGAACTGGACCGACGGCAGTTTTGCTTGGTCGAGCATATTCTAGAGGGCGTTAAAAATTACAGACACCGAGGGGTTCGTGTTCAGACTTTTTTTGGGCCGCAAGGTCCCATAAGGCTGCCGCTTTTTAGCAATCTCTCCTCCATGTTTTTTATACTGAATATTATTAAACGAATCAAACATTTCGTACTGTGATAGAACTCGCAGAATTGACTTAACTTTCTACAAATTTGCGAATCATGATTTGAAAATTGTTATAGGGATACAGAAATGATTTACCGTGCATTCTCCCAGGGTAAGGTCACAAGTGCCCGCGTGTCCGTTGCAGTCGCACCGCACGCATACATGATGATCCTGATAATCGGATCCATTCTTGATCAGTTTCACATACCCCCATGCGCAGCTCTCGCAGGACAGTCCCGCGTATCCCTCGGGGCACTCACACACCTCGACCAAATTGTTACTCTCGCCGCCGGATGCAACCTCTCCGACGGACAAGATCGCTGCTTGTAGACTGAAACCCAAACGAAGCGTTCACGATTTTTAGACTCGATTCATAAATTTTCACATCCCGTAAACACAATGAATAAACTGCCGATTTGTATGCAAAATGAAACATTCATGGTATCAATAAAAGAAATGTATTCTAAGTAGACATGTCTTTTATTATATAAACATTGTGAGAGGCAGTCTTTATC